TGTAAGGTTATATATTCACAGGTTTTGGGAGCTAGGAGATGGACATCTTTTGGGGGGGGGGTGTCATTATTATTCTACCTCATGTCATAGAACAGTGTCTAAAACATTAGTGGAAGTGAGTTTGTTAGTTTATTTATTTATTTGCATAAATGTCCCTCATTCATTAAGCTTTTCTATGGCTTTCTCTTACTTTTAGGATTAAAAAGTAAACCCCTAGCATGGCCTGGCAGGTCCTCATGGCCTACCCCAGCCCAGTGCTTCCCTGGGCTTCCAGCCTCTTCATGGGCTCTTCTCTCCTTGCTTACAAAACTCCACTCCATTTCTTCCCAGTCCCTCAGGACCTTGCCACGGCCTCTGCTTATACCAGCCCTTTCTCACTCCCTCCAAACCCCTTTGCATGTTTTCCTGCCACTCACTGCTTGGATGGTAGAGCAAACTCTTCTCCCTTAAGTAGCATCATTTTGGACTTTTCTCTGCTGGTTAAATATTCTATTTGTGCACAATCCTGGAGCCTGGGCTGCTCCTTCCTAGCACTCGATCACAGCTTGCAATTGTTTATTGGTGTTCTTACTTGTTTCATCTGTAAGCTCTGTGAAGGCAGTGACTATTTCCATTGTATACTCAATGCTGATCATTTATTTGGTGCTTAGTAAATATTTGTTAAAGGAATGGACTTAAAATGAAAAGATAGTGTGCCTGTCAAATAGCTCTTGGTTTTGATCTTCAGTGTAGTATTCTTGTAGCCACAGGCAGAATGGGATTTTGGGTTATGGGAAGGGTTTGTTCAGTAACAGACGGTAGGAGATTGATAATTATTGAGTAAAGCAACCCAGTGTTGTTTGTTTATTTTTCAATGAAGTAGAGAGTTACTCTCACTACTTAGTAATTTTAAGACCCTTATTGCTTCTCTTTAAAAATATGTTTAAGACTTTTAATTGTCTAGCATGACTATATAGACTATCATAGGCTTGAGATTCCATTAAATTTTAAAGTGACTTTCATTCAGAATTGAGGTTATGGTTCAGAGGAAGTTTTCCTGGGTTAGACCTGTGAGTTGTGGAACACTGAATCTAAAATGACATTACCCTCTGTTAGCACTGGTGTTCAAGAGAAGTCCTCTAAACTTCTTAATGCAGTTATTACTCAATATATGTCAGGTCTTTTAAAAAATGTTTTATTAATTTTAGAGAGGAAGGGAGAGGCACAGAGAGATAGAAACATCGATGCAAGAGAACATTGATTGGCCACCTCCTGCATGCCCCTCACTGGGGATCGGGCCCACAATCTGGGCATGTGCCCTGACTGGGAATCGAACTGATGACCTCTTGGTGCATGGGTTGACACTCCACCACTGAGCCATACCGGCCAGCCTATCAGTAGATATTTTTAAAGAAAAATGTTATACAACAGAAAAAAATTGTTTTATATTTTGTATCTGACTCAGTTTCTTTCTTTTAATTTTATATTTTACTATAATGAGTTTTTCCCATTTCATCCAAACTTGATTTATATTATACTAATTTAATTTTGATGGTTTCCCTATTTAAGCTACAGTATTTCATCTTGATGTAGGCAAAGTTTGAGTTAGTTATCCAGTTTTGTTGCCAGTTCAATGAACTTTCTGAAAGAAAAAGAACTTTTGGAATTTAAAGGTGTCTTGAAGTTTTCCTATTCTATGAGAAAAAATTATTTGGAGAAAATCAATTTAAATGCATTATCTTGTTATATATATAGTTTTCTAGCTACTGATTAATATTGTAATTATTCAAAATTAACTTTTGTGAGAAATCTGTACTATATATTTCATATCTGTTTTTCACACTATGTATATACATAATTCCACACTATATATATTTTATCTTTAAGTATTTTATTTTATTTTTGTTACAGATGTTTCTCCTTTTTTTCTCCATTGACACCCTCCTCCCCATTCCCCCTCACCCTGTACCTGGCTTTGTTGCCCATGTGCATTGGTTATGCATACATGCATATAATTTCTGAGGTTTATCTCTGTACCCTACTTCCACGTCTCTGGGTCTACCCTATTCCTCAGACTGTTATGTTCATTATATTCCACAAATAAGTGAGATCATGTGGTATTCGTCTTTTCTGCTTGGCTTGTTTCACTTAGGATAATACTTTCCAGGTCCTTCCATGTCCTCTCAAAGGATAAGAGATCTTTCTTTCTTTCTTTTTTTTTTTTATCCTCACCCAAGGACATTTTTTGACATTTTGTTCAGATAAAGTAGGAGGGAGAGAGAGAGAGAGAGAGAAACATCGACGTGAACGGGACACATCAAGTGGTTGCCACCCGCACGACCCAACCAGGGCTGGGGACAAACTGCAACCGAGGTATGTGCCCTTAGCGGGAACCAAACCTGGGTCTCTCTGGACCGCAGGCCAAAGCTCCAACCGCTGAGCCAAACTGGCCAGGGCGATCTTTCTTTCTTATAGCTGCATAGTACTCGATTGTGTATATATACCACAGATGTTTTATCCATTTGTCTACTGATGGACACATGGGCTGTTTCCAGATCTTAGCTATTGTAAATAGTGCTGTTATGAACATGGGGGTACATATATTCAGGCTTCTTAGGGTATATTCCTAGAAGTGGGATCACTGGGTCAAATGCCAGTTCAATTTTTAATTTTTTGAGGTAACACCATAGTGTTTTCCATAGTGGCTGCACCAGTCTGCATACCCACCAGCAGTGAACTAGAGTCCCCTTTTCTCCACACCCTCGCCAACACTTGTTGTTTGATGATTTGTTGATCGTGGCCATTCTGACAGGTGTGAGGTGATACTTCATTGTTGTTTTAATTTGTATCTCTCTGATGATTAGTGATGTTGAGCATTTCTTCATATGCTGTAAACAACATATATATGAGTCATGCTTTTTTATCCAATCAGCTACTCTGTGTCTTTTTATCAGAGCATTCAATCCATTTAAATTTAAGGTAATTATTGATATGTACTTATTTATTGCCACTTTTGTTTAGTGTGGTTATATTTTTTTTCCTATTTCTCCTGCTAATTACAGCAGTCCTTTTAACATTTCTTGCAGTGCGGTGTGGTGCTAATGTATTCCCTTAGCCTTTTTTTTTGGTCTGGAAAGCTCTTTATTTGACCTTCTATTTTGAATGATAGCCTTCCTGGGTAGAGTAGTCTTGGATTCAGATCCTTGTTTTTCTTGACCTTGATTACTTCGTGCCATTCCCTTCTGGCCTGTAGTGTTCCTGTTGAGAAGTCAGCTGATAGCCTTAATGGGGTGTCTTTGTAGGTAACCTGTTGCTTATCTCTTGCTGCTTTTAGGATTCTCTTCTTGTCTTTAATTTTCAGCATTTTAATTACTATGTGTCTCGGTGTGGGCCTGTTTGGGTTCTTAGTTGGGGCTCTCTGTGCTTCTTTAACTTGAATGCCTTCTTCCTTCACCAAATGAGGGAAGTTTTCTATTACTATTTCTTTGAATATATTCTCTAACCCTTGCTCATTTTCTTCTTCTTCGGGGACTCCTATGATTCTAATATTATTACGTTTCCAGTTGTCCCACAGTTCTCTTAAGCTGTCTTCCTGGTTTTTAATTGTTTTTTCCTTTTGGTTTTCTGATTGGTTGATTCTTTCTACTCTGTCTTCTAATTCACTGGTCTGGTCCTCTGCTTTCTCTACTCTGCTGTTTAGACCTTCCAACGTGTTCTTTACCTGATATGTCATTCTTTATTTCTTCTTGGTGGTTTTTAATTTCCAGTTGGTTGATTTCCAACATTTCTATGTCTTTACTCATGGTGTTGATGTCCTTACTCATGCTGTTGAGTTTCCTCAAGATCATGGCTTTGAATTCTAGCTCTGTTAACTTGCTTAACTGCACCTCATTTATCTCATCTGCAGTAGAGGTCTCTTGTTCTTTCATTTGGGATTTGTTTCTTTGTTTCACCATTTTGGTTATCTCAGTGGGCTTTGCATCCTGCCTAATTTTTCCTGTGGGTGTTGGTGTTCTTCTGTTTGTGGCTTCTTCTACTGGGTTTGGATGAGCATGGGAGAACCCACATTAAACACCATTGTCAAGACTTATTTTCCTGGGCGGAGTTGCAAGCCCAGGAAAGGTTCAGTTATCCTCTAGCTTTTTGCCTGGAGGCTATTAGTCGCAGTTATTGAAGAGCCTTGGGTTCCCAGTTGAATGAAAAACTCCCTCAGGTGTTCAGCTTAAGAGGATTTCCTGAGGGTGGGGCAGATACTGGTTGTTAATGAGTCTCAATTTGCATTTTAATGGCCTCCTGGTGGGGTTGAATTTCTGAGGGAGGGGCCGCCACCTCTCCCCAGGGCCCTGGGAAGGAATAAGATGACCACTGTCTGTGTGGCCACCACTCAGCAAAACTCTGAATGCCCTCCAGATCCTGAGTGTCCCCACACAGTTCCAGTCCAGTCTGCCCTCCCTCTGCCAGAGCCCAAGGTGAGTGGCTGTGGCTATTTTAGTGTCTCTACGAGCTGTGTGCTGTGGAGTGGTTTGGGAGTTTAATCCCGAGGGTGCTGCTCACAGCTAAGTCTGCTGCTGTCTGTGGGCTCCCAGCCCCCATCTCACGCCTCCGCAATTCTACCAGGATCGAGTCAGTGTCCTTATACAGTCCTCGCAAGCTGCTTTCCTGTTGCTTTGTCCTGATGATTTGTCTTTATTTTAGTTGTAATTCCAGTTTTGTCTTGGGAGATGATCTGTGTAGCTTCCATTCACTCCGCTGCCATTTTGGAATCTCCCACACTATATATTTTTAAATACTGTGTTTATGTCTATTTCTGTCTGTAGTGTGACATAGTCAATGATGTTTTATTCTTTAACCTTTTTACTAGACTTGATAAAAATTCATAAAACTGTTATGAACTTTCAGTTTTCAATCTATGAAGATATACATACTAGTATTTACCGAAAATTCATTTTGCTGTTACTAGCTTAACTTTAGTTGCTGTATTAGTATCAATCTATATGAAATGTTTCATTCTTTCCTTTTAGAGTATGTTGGATAAAGGACATTGTCGTGGCAGTAACTCGAGAGAACATGGAAGCGATGAGGGGTATTATTCAGAGGTACCAGCATAGACGGATCTCACTCGTTGAAGCTGGAGTGACCCGCCACAGGTCAATATTCAATGGACTAAAAGCTCTGGCAGAGGATCAGCCACACTCCAAGCTCTCCAAGCCGGAAGTAGTGATTATCCACGATGCTGTGAGACCTTTTGTTGAGGAAGATATTCTTCTTAAAGTGGCCACAGCTGCTAAGGAACATGGAGTAAGTATTTATACTGATGAGAACAGTTAAAAGGCAAACACTATATAAAGTGGTTCACTGACTCAATTTTGATGGAATTATATTTAAATTTTAAATTATTTAAAATGGGCATGATGAACTAAAGATGTTAGGGTAATTTGTTTTAGGAAGTTTATAGTATTATAGATTGTGAGACTGTTCTGGAATTTATCTTTTCTATAGTCATTTATCCCCATAATGTAATATGAGCTATTTGAAGAATAATTTAGTAATAATGTTATTAGAGTATGGAAAATGTCTAAGAAATCACTCAAAAGTCTAAGATATATCTATATCTATATATCTATATCTATATGCTCATTGCATTCAAATTTTGTGTTTTGAATTTTCAGACATGGTTTATTTTCTAGCAAAATAGCCAGGTAAGATTTTTGTACTCCTTAAAGTGAATCATCTTAAGGTGACAGAATTCTGTTTTTACTTCTGTTTCACCAAAACAAACACAGGCTCACAAAAGACCAATTGTAATCTCTAGAACATATGTTTTGTTTTGTTTTCCTTCTTTCTTGTATTACCAGGTAAAATTCTATAAATAAGGTAATAGATACTAAACTTAAGTTTGCAGTCTAAATTTGTGGCTTAGTGAAAAAAATGATTGCACAGATTTGATACAATATGAAAGAAATAATCTGTGGAGTCTGACAGACTTAGTCCCAATTGTCAGATTTTCTAGTAATTAGTGGGGGAGTGTATTCAACTTTCTCAGCCTCACTGGGCCTATTTTCCTTGTAAAGATATATGTGCTAATACTTGTAAGGTTTTTAGGATAGAAAATTTATAGGTTAACTATTTAGTAAAATTCTAAGTACTTAAGAATGGTATTATTTTATGATGAATTATAACATCTATGTGATAGAGTTTCATCCAAGGATTGTTGAATAATGGAAGGAATAATCTAAGCTTTTCTAGCCTCCAGGAGGCCAGGAAGTAATAAAATACTTCTGGGAAAGACAGTCTATGACTTTTCCAAAGTTAACTGTCTGTATTTGGATCTTATAGTTAGGAAATTGTCCCTAATTTCATTTCTTCTTCCTACAACCTGGATTTATATAAATTTAGACCTGTCTAAGAATTCCATAGGTTAAATGAAACGCTTTGATTTCTTTAACGTGACTTCTAAATGGTATTTTGATATAGTGAAAGCTGTGGCCCAGGAGCATTAGAGACCACAAAACTTTCTCATGTTCTTGTGCTTCTCCTGTGACCCCTTCCTCTTCTCCACGCTCCTCCCTTGTGGTAGAGACAATGTGATCAGTTACAAGAGGAGTGAGGATGAATAAAGGAGCGAAGAATTGATAACTCTTAGGAATTTGAGTAAAATTTTACAATTTGAAAAACTTCCTAGGGAAGACTACACAATTTGGGCAGATAGTTAGAAATTTTAGTGCATATTAGATACCCATAAGAACATGGTTCTTTGCTTATGTGCCTTCAGGAAAAATATCACTCAAGCTCATTATAAAATTCACACATATTTGGATTTGTATGTTGTTGGGTATTATATTCGAGAGAGATTATTTTTAGGAGATTGTCTGTAAAGTGATTCTTTTGGGCTTATGACTGAAAAGGAAGATAAAAGGCCTTTTATCTTGGTTTACTTAATATGCTAAGAATATCGTTTAACAGGTAACTTAATAAAACATATTAAAATGTATAGCAGTTAGTGTTTTATGTTTGCAGATTTGTCAGAATTTCTCTTAGACTCTAATTTTAAGTTTGTGAATCAGAATGTGATTTGTAAGCTTTAATCACATTATGCATCCTAAATAAAATCAACAAATTACATTTTAATGAAACCTGTGAAACTTTCTGATTACATTAAGAGGCTGGTTTAAGGTAAAAACTTTACAACTAATTTGTTTTAAATTAAGCTTCATAAATCTGGTCCCTTTTAGAAATATTGCATTGTTTTTGATGGTGTTATGGTATACTTCTCAAAAAAGTATAAAATCATGAATTATATAAAGATAGAAGTTGAGCATGTATTAAGGATTTAAAAAAAAAATTTTTTTTTATCCTCACCCGAGGAGATTTTTCCATTTTTTGTACAGATAGAGTGGGAGGGAGAGAGAGGAAGAGAGAAAGAGGGAAACATCGATGTGAAAGGGACACATTGAGTGGCTGCCACCCACACGACCAACCAGGGCCGGGGACAAACTGAAACCGAGGTACATGCCCCTAGCGGGAACCGAACCCGGGTCTCTCCGGACCGCAGGCGGACGCTCTAACCGCTGAGCCAAACCGGCCAGGGCAAGGATTTTACTAACTCATTAAAGAGGAAACAAGACATGTTACAATCCAGAAAAGCACAGATTTATATGGAATAAAGCCTGTTGAAATGAATTAACAAACAGACAAAACTACTTTTCCAAGAAGGGAGGGTGTCAATTGGACTTCCATTGGACAGAAATTATTTGCATGTCTATAGGCAAGAATGACTTTTGAATTGCTATCTGTTATCTATAAGTTCAGAGAGTTATAAAGTACTCAGTAATATTTTTTGCTTATTCTAAATTTCTTTACAGTGGTTAACATAGTGACCCAATAGCCTCAGAAAATCCAGGCACTACTTCCTGCCAACTGTCATACTGTTCTAATCATGAAAACATAAATGCATGCATTTAATAGAAACTTATACTAGTAGTTGAAGTTCTTACATTGTTGGGAAGTATTGGCATCTTTTATAATAACCACTGGCCAATAAATAGGCAAAAGATTGGCCTGAATTGAATGCTATCCGAGGCAAGCAGAGTGATGATTGTTTAGTCGAATACACTTCACAATTTGTTTTCCATGAATTCCTTTGAACTCTTAAATTGTGTTCTATAGATTCTGAACTGATTTTCTTCTTTTCTTAGCCCTGCTTTTCAAGCTCTTCCAAAAGGTTCCATTCAGATAAATCATTTTCTACAGTGTGACAGCCCCTTAGGTAGTATACATGCTAAAGATAACTTTGTGATACTTTAACCTACATTACATTTTGGATAAAACAAAACAAATTGATGAAGATGTATTACCTCAAGATACTAAGATGTCCAAAATTAAGGCTTACATTAGAGTTGCCTATATACAGGAACTTGAAAGTATCACAAGGACACAGTTTCACTTTCTTCACTGTGTATGCACTATTTTTGGATTCCAAGGATTTGACATGACCTCAATAAGACCAGCAGTGAAATTCTTTTAGTGTTTATTCATCCTTACTCTTGATGATAGTTTGTCTGGATATAAAATTCTAAGGCTACAGTTTTTTCCCCCCAATATTTTGAAAATATACTATATCATTGTTTTCTGGCTTTTATCCAGCATTTGAGAAGTCAGCTAACCAATCTAATTGTATCTCTTGAAAGGAATCTGCCTTTTCTCTCTGGTTGATATAATACATACTAAGAGATCATTTATTTTTCGTAGATATTGTGCAGTGTCTCTGTGATGAATCTAGATATGGATTTCTCCCCCCCCCCACTCGTTTTGGATTTATTGTCCATTATGAATTTTATAATTCATATATTTTTATCAATTCTTGAAAATTATCAGCCATTTTATTATTGAATATTGACTCTGCCTCAATCCTACTGCATAGCTTTTCTTCCTTCTCCTTATGAATCACTGTATGTATGATAGACTTTCTTATCCTATCCTCACATCTCCTGATGTTTTTCTATTTTCCATCTTTTTTTGTGGGCTGCCTCCTGGGTAATTTCAGTGTTCTATTTCAAACATTCTTTAACTCTACCTAATCTTGTGTTTAAGAATTTTAAACATTTTAGTAATTTTTTTAATTTCTAGGAGTTCCATTGATCCTTTCAAAAATGTGATTAATCTCTTTTTTCTTATGTTTTTTTTATTTTATATCTTTCAATATTTAAATATAACTTGAAGCTATGCATTTGCTCACACCCATTTTAACTCTCACTGACACACTGTTATTTCCCAAATCTCTATATCTTATGCTCAGGTTTCTCTCTCCTGAATTCCAGACTTCTTAACATTTAACTTCTAACTGAACAGAACCACTTAAATTTTCTTTTTTCAGTGTATGTACAATCATATGTAGGTCAGAATTCACTAATCTTCCATAACTTCTTCTCTTGACTTTTATCCTGTAGGTTAGAGGGAGATATTGATTTTCAGCAGACATTGAAATTCAGATTTGAATTTTAGTAAAATGACTGTTTCCTTCATTTGGTAGATGGATTAGAGGGAAATGAAATTAGCTCAGGAGCTACAGTAATGATTCAGCTGAGTGATGATGGCCTATCTCAGCAAGGTGAGGTGGACAGGAAACTACAAGTGGTTACGAATGTTAGGGAGCTGGTTTGACTGGACCTGACTGATTGGATAGTGTATGAACCATGAAAAGACATGTATTTTGTGTACTTTTACTTTTCCTCTCTTTCTCTGACAGTAGGCCCCAACAAGTCTTCACCTGAAATCCCTGTGCTCCTGATCTCCCCACCCCACCTTCCTCCAAGGTTTTCTGATATTACTGTTGAGACATTAACTCGCTTGCCACAACTCTGCAGACCCACCCATGGTAATGTATTTATCTAAGAGTTCTAATTGCCTGGGACCTTTCGAGCACTGGTTTATGGTATATCTTACAGAATTCTCATAAAACCAGGTCCCCTGTACTTACCTCTTGTATCGGGTTGCTTTCTACAATTTAAAGCAACAGGGATTTGTATCTGAGAGCAGGCTCTACACTGGAATTTCTTTTTATATTTGAATATTGATATAGCACAGGGTTTCTCAAGCTTGGCATGACTGACATTATGGGTGAGGTCATTCTTTGTTGTGGGGGCTGTCATGTGTGTTATGTGGTGATTAGCAGTATCCCTGTTTACATCCCCAACCCCTATATCAGTTGTGTGATGGATAATAAATTTATAGGGTTAGACCATAATTAATCATAATATTACACATGGTTTTATCCTTCTTTCCTTTTCCCCAATTTATTG